TACCTTTACTATAGCGAACAATTGCAATTTTTTATCTTTACAATAAATTTCGCGATAATTTAAAATTTTTTTGATCTCTTTAACTTTTAGACTAGACAAATTTATGCATTTATATTTGTAAAATTTGATTGAATATTTTAATGCGCAACTTCTATTTTTGCATATAACAAATGATGAAAATAATAAATGCGCAAATTTTGTCTAATCAAAGTCAAAAAAAAAAAAAAATTGTTAAAGAAATCGGTAATCAGTAATTGATTACTTTTTTTTATTGCAGGTTTGCAAAAGTATGTGAAATTTGAAGATTAAAAAAAAGTAATCACTAATTTCCGATTTCAACATTTTTTTTTTGACTTTTAGACTAGACAAATTTGCGCATTTATCATTTGTAAAAATTTGATTGAATATTTTAATGCACAACTCCTATTTCTGCAAAATTATTTTTATAAAATTTTTACAAAATAATAAATGCGCAAATTTTGTCTAATTAAAGTCAAAAAAAAAAAAAAAAGCCGATGAAATCAGTAATCGGAAATCTGTGATTACTTTTTTTTTTTAATAATCAAATTTCACATAATTTCGCAAACCACAATAAATACAGAATTATATTGCCATTAACTGTAACTGTATCTAAATGATTCATTAAATTTGCATAAACCGTTCCTTTGTTTTTTTTTGATTATTGGTTGTGATCTGGAAAGAAAATTATACTGATATTTGCCATTATTTGAGGGTCTAAAAAAGGCATCGTCGAAAGAATGTAAATTGACATCATTTGGAGGTCTAAAAAGAGTACCGGTATCTTTTTGATTATCGGCTGTGATGGGAGAACATAAATTATACTAATGCTTGTTGTCATTTGAAGGTCTAAAAGAAGCATCTTTTTGATTATCGGCTATGATCTGGAAGAACATAAATTATACTAATGCTTGTTGTCATTTGAAGGTCTAAAAAAAGCATCTTTTTGATTATTGGCTATGATCTGGAAGAATACTATCGACTATGCTGAAAGAACATAAATTACACTAATGTCTACCGTCATTTGAAGGTCTGAAAAGTAACATTTGTTCAGAACTTTGACATTCATTGAAACTAATTTTTTTTAAAAAAAGATTTAGAATGCTATACCATATACATGTCTGTGTGGTTTGTCAATTTTAATTCAAAAACTACAAGTTTTGACATCAAATATCTCCAAATATACTCATACTTATGTTTATTATTACATATTTTATCATGTCATTATATTTTTTAAACAACTGCAAAAATTGCATCACCAATCAATTAATCAATTAATTGGGTTCAAATAAAGACAATCACTTCATAGATACCACATTTCACCGACAATTATTCACCGACAAGTTCATTTCACCTAAGCTCATTTCATAGACATTGTCGTTAGGGTCAGGTTAGAATTAAAGTTAGTGCAATTTATAAAAAAAAAAAACTTGCTGGTGAATGAGCTTCGGTGAAATAACCTGTCGGTAAAATGTGGTGTCTTATGAATTGAGTGTCGGTGAAATAATACGGATCCTAATTAATTGGCGGCGCAGCCACAATTAATCAATTATGAATTCTTTTAAAAAAATTGACTTAATCGATTTTTGGCTATTTGATGTAGGAAAAATGGCAAGAGAATTAGATAGTCATACAACTTTGCAATAGTTGGCGGTAGAAACTATTTTTTTTTACATCTTACGGATCATCGACTTCTTGTAGCCAACTATGCAAAATTTTAATTTTCGGTTTAAAAAATTTAGGTCGATTACGAACACTAAAATTCGCTAAGCCTTTACGTAGTATAAAGTAGAGATATTCTGGCAAGTTAAGATTTTTCCAAATTTGCTAATTGTAAAACTTTATTAAAAATATTACAAATTACAATTTTATTGTAACATAACATAATTCTTTGTCTATTTAATTCTAAAATAAAAAAAAGCACTTGTATTTGCGCAGTGCGAAGTAACTTCAACGGTCGGGAGGGTAAAGTGGTGGATTGACGGATAAACATGATGGGCAATTTACATTAAACCAGTATTGTTATCGTTATAGGGATTTTAAAGATAATACAAATATAATATGGCATTACTTCAAGGTACTCATCCCCAAAATTCCGGGTCGGGAGACATCGGAATCCTGATCGGCTGTAATGAAATAATAGCCGTTCATTAAGTAAAAGATGCCCAGCCGATAATTTTGCTAGACTATGCTAAGCCTTATTGATAAATGCCGGCCTATCTCTCTGAATAAGATAATCAGCTACTGCAGTATTAGTCTCTAATCAAAGGGTATTTGTACAATTATCTTGCAATCCATTGATCACAATCGAATATTTTTTACTTAGTTCGATTTGTTTTGATGAGATGAATCAAATGGTATAAGAATCAATAGATTCCAATTATTGGGTTTGCAAAATTATGTAAATTTGATCATTTAAAAAAAAGTAATTGATTTCCGATTACTGATTCAACTTTTTTTGTTATTGACTTTTAGATTAGACAACATTTGCGCATTCATTATTTTGTAACAATTTTATTATTTTTTATAGAAAATAAAAGTTGCATATTCATCATTTTGTAATATATTTGCAGAAATGAGAGTTGCGTAAAATATTCAATCAAATTTTTATAAATGATAAATGCGCAAATTTAGTCTAGTCTAAAAGTCAAAAAAAAAGTTGAATAATTTGATTCTCATATAATTGATATAAGTCATTTGATTTTTAATTCATAATATCGATATTTTAGCGCATCTCATTTAAAAGCAGTTTCAGCGTACGTACCTTCCTTTAATTATCATAGCAATAACAGTTAGCCTGAATATTAACTTTTTCAACATAGATGCCGAAGCTTAATCGAACTTAATTCTATGCTTATCCTAAAAAAGCAGCGATTATTGAGTTGATCATAATATGGGGTTAATGAATCACTGTATATACAGTCATATGCAAAAGTAGTGTAAATCAATTGCCGGGGTAACTAATCTATATGTTTTATAGTGCTAGAAAAATAACTTTAAAAATAAGATCTTATTTAAGCATGCTTGCTTAATAACGACTCTTTTGCAATGCTTCTTTCGAAACCTTAAGGTAACTGAAGAAAAAGATTAGCTTCTATGACAACTGAGGAACAATTGAATTATCGAAATGACGATGGATCCTAGTGTCACCAACCTAAACTATTTCGCTACGTACTAATGTTAGGGTTTGAGAGTAATTTTGGTTTGATCTGATTTTGAAATTTGATTTGAACAGATAGTGAAATTTTTTAGACTGATGTTAAATAATGAACAAGAAAAAAAGAATAGGATCGGCGCAAAAGATATTGTTGAAAAAGAAAATACAAGTGATAAAATTTATAAATCACAAGGCTTACATCTAAATATTGGTAATAACGATAAGGGATTAGCTATACGTATCCAAAACATTTAATGCTTAAAAATTAGTCAGATTCTATGATTCATATTGGGAATACCGATACGCATAGACAATTTAAGTTAGCGTTACACGATCTTCATCAAATTTAACGCATACCCGATTGTTTTGGCCGAATCTATTGGATTTTTACAGTGATAAACTATTGATGAAATCCGTTGAAGCACCTCAGATCTATAGTAGAAATAGATAGATGGGATTTAAATAAAGGTTGAAATTCTTCAAATCAGCCGAATTATACAATTTTATGAGAATTTACAAGATAATGAAGCGAAGGTTTAACCAAACCTTCTATTTATTTTATTTCTTGATTACATGTAATGTCGGTATTCTCAACAAATTCAGGTAGAGATGAGTAAGGTAATGATGTAAGTAATAATTACTAATTTTTCATCCCAGTACTTAACACATACTAAGCATACCAATTATTACCTATTACGAATGATTATTACTTATTATGCTTGGCAAATGTAATCTGGGAAGTAAATTTTAAACGTTACATAAGAAAATTAATGAAATAATTGGAAATAATAAGTGATAATATGTTTCTAAACTTGTCCACTTCTAAATTCAGGGACTCGCTCCAGATCTATGAAACTTCACTATTTATTACTAGCTATAAACCATCTTTATGTTTTAACACATTATATGAGTGTCTCCAAGAGAAAAGCTGTCGCAGGCTTTCAATTATATTTTGTATCGAACCCAATCTCTAACAAATTGAACTGATTGTATCCGATACAAATATGATTGAAAGCTTGATGACAGGTTTTCTCTCAGCGACACATATTCGCCTTAATGAATTTTAATTAATATAAATATATACATACTTATATATTTTATACGTATTGTTTGATCTCAAAAATTAATTCCTTAATCGCAATTAGAATAAACAACATGCAGGAACAATCGTTCGGCAAGCTTTTTAACAGCCCTATTACCATCCATGAAAAGTAAGCAATTTTATATAAATATAATAAATAATTCTGCGTAATATACAGTAAGTACGTACAACATTTATTTTTTAATATATATATATAATTAAACAAAATAAAAATGTATATTATATATATATGCATAATGATAAATAATTACCAGATTATATTTGCCTGAGTAACTGTTTAGGCACTAAAACTTGCCATCAGGTTTTTTCAATCGGACACAATCTAGCAAATTAGACGATACAAAATATAATTCCTTTGCTGACACTCATATAGTATATGATAATAATAAATATAACGATAAGTGTTCTTTATATTAAAATTATAAATGATTTTTTTTAGTAGTGGAACGTTACATTCTCAAAATATTAGAATAGGTTACCCAGGCAATTGATTTACATTGGCCGATCATACGAATGTCTTGTCCTATGACAATATGATGGTTTCATGGCATACAGTTGTGTTAAATTAAATTCTACATATTGAGTGTAACAAATAAATTTTGCATATAATGTTTTAATTTTTATTTAATCTTTTTTTTTGTAACTATATTCCTTCTACGACCAACTGGTCACATTATTCACTTTCTTTATATCTTTCTCTTATTTCTTGACATGGTCATAGCCATGGCATACTCTGATAGAACATTATATCGTCCATTATACCAAAAACAAACTTACTCAAGTTGGATGTTTCCAAGGGTAATTAAAAGTATCGCTGCATGTTTATCATTCGCCTTTTTCATTGCAATACAATTTATTCATCTAAACCAACGCCATGTCATTTCAAATCATTCTCCGTCGTCTTGGAAATTTGATGAATCTAAAGTATCTATTGATAGTATTAGCAATATCATAGTTGTCATCGATGGTGATCAACAAGCAACCAGTTTACAACCTATTTATTGTAAACTAAATAAAAGAAATGAAAATATTTACACTCATGTAATTGTTACCGGCAAAGGTCGTGGAATGGGCGGCACAAAACTATTAAGGTTTAATTCCCTATTTCAAAATTGTGATGTATCCGTATATGACCTAGAACTTCGTAAAGATATTTCTTCCAATGAAAATATCGTATCATTGGTATTTCATGGAATAAATTATGCGTTAAATCAAATTCGACCGGATGTTTTGATTTATATAAATGAACCTGAAAGTGAAACTGTGCTTGGTATTGAGGCCGCATTAGTTGCTACTCCTGAATCAAATAGTATTACAAAGATTGTAATACCTAGTAAGCATACAAAAAATTTAATGTGGATAACTGATTTATCTATAGAGGCACTCAAAAGTATGTATAATTATTAGTAATTCTTCTTCTTTGATTTCTTTTGATTCATCCTTTGATCTTTTTTTTTAATTCACATCCTTTATATCTTATCATTTATAATCTTATTCATTGTTTCTTATATTTTGTATCACAGACTGGAACACTCCAAAAATTCAATTACAAGTGGTCACTCAAAATCGTCCAGACTCTCTAGCACGTCTTATGAGATCTCTCAATTCATCTATTTATTTTGGTGATGATGTGCAACTCACTATACACATGGATCAAGGTTCTGATCCTGTTACCATTAAGTATAGTCAAACATTTGATTGGACTTTTGGTCGAAAGAATATTCGACATCGAATAGTTCATGGTGGTTTACTATCTGCTGTGATAGAATCTTATTATCCTAGTGACAATCATGATTACGCTGTAATTTTAGAAGATGATGTTGAACTTTCTCCTTTCTTCTATATATGGGCAAAATATTGTGTCTTAAAATATAGATATGGTACTGATCGAAGTTTATCTGGTAGAATGTTTGGTGTTAGCCTTTACAACACAAAACTTAACGAATTACATTTACCTGGTCGTAGACCTTTTAATCCTGCTCTGGCTTTAAGAGGTACAATATATCCTAATCAATCTCCATATCTTAGTCAAGTTCCTTGTAGTTGGGGTGCCTTATATTTCCCTGAAATATGGCGTGAATATCGTATTTATCAAAATGCTAGATTAAATGATGTTAATGGTCTTCAATTACAAGATATATCTGTACCAGGAAGTAGATCAAATCGTTGGAAAAAGTCTTGGAAACGTTTCTTTATAGAACTTACTTATCTTCGTGGTTATGTAATGCTTTATCCTAATTATGAAGATTCAATTAGTTTTTCCACTAATCATGCTGAGATAGGTGTTCATAATCATAAGGAAGGAAAAAAACGTGATGTTTTTCGACTTCCATTAATGAAAGAAGATACTGTATTGGATGGTTTACCTGGTGGTCATTTACCAAATTTTAAAGATTTACCAACCATGGATCTTTGGGGAGAGCTTATACCACAAAAAGAATTAATTCAACGTGGACGTAAATTACATTTGAAAATTTCGAGTTGTCCTCCTAGTGGTCTTGATGAACTCACTTATGACCCTCAAGATTTATTATGTGTGGATGAAGAAGTTTTACGCATTAAAATGATGAAATATTCCGATTCTGAAATTAATCCTGATCAAGATACTTCCGACAATATAAAAATGGATGAATTAATAGCCGAAAAGGAAAATCTTGCAAAAAATCCAATAATAAAAATTGATAATCAAATAGTTCTCTCTGATCGCAAAGAGAATAAAGTAATTTTCTCTGATCATCAAGAGGATCAGGTATTTCTCTCTGATGACAAAACTAATAAAGTGATTCCCTCTGATCACAAAGAGAATCAAATAATTCCCTCCGATGACGAAGAAAATAAAGTTATTTTCTTTGAAAGAATAAGGAGTTCCCTTTGATGACAAAGATTTTCCTTTGAAACATGGAGGATAATCCTTTTATCCGAAATCATTAAAATGCATTTTGAAAATAGATGATAAAAGGATTTATCATGTGTATACATAATATTAATCAGGGCATATATGAGTATTTGATCATAGTAAAAATTATAATAAAACCATACTTATAAAAATTACTATGAACTTGAAGCCCATTTCCTTTCCTCTTACAAATTAATCAAAAATTCTTATTAGATAGAATAAAGTTCTTCAAAATAATATCTGGAAACTTTGTAAAAATTGCACGATTTGTATATAGAACTTTAGGAAAAAAATAACTTTTCGATAATTTAATATTGTAATTACACGTAAAATTTTATTCTAATTAGTTTACTTAGAAACCGAATGTTAGGTTATCTTAGTAAAAAAAAAAAAAAAAAAAAATAGGTTCATATATCAGACGTTAAAAATTTTTTATATTATCTATGTATAATCCTTTTTTTTTTTTTTTTGTTTACTGTATAAGATAAATATTTTTAATAAAATTAATAATAATATTTTAAAGTTATTTCATAACACTATTCATATTTGCTTCCCTATCAATTTCTTTTCTTGTTCAACACTTTTATAATAGTTGATTATGAAACTACATTTGTTTCGTTATGTTAGTTTATTAAATATACAAAATATCTCTGATACAGTATACAAAACGATTTGGGTGCTTTCTACATAATCTAACTCCAAAAGATTAAGGAAGTTACTTCCCTCTCGCAAAACGTGTGCGAGGGCATTATCTTTCGGGAACTGTATGTATTTTTGTCACAGAATCAAGAGATAAAAAAAGATTATAAAATTTTATACAATATTTTTTAAAATATTGGTTGTCTTATTAAACATAATACACCAACTTGATACATTTGAATTAAAATGTAAATATATAAAATTTACATATTAACTTGCAATTAAATAAATATATTTGATATTTGAAGATTTATAGAATATACTGTATTTATAAAAAAAATCAATTTAATTTTTGATTACAATTGTTTAAAAAATTTTTAAAGTTGGTTAATTTTTTTTAAAAAAAATAAAAAAATAAAAATTTTTGACATATTGTTAAATTAACCAATTATAATTAAGTATTTTTTGTGCTACTATACAAGTATTTTGATGTAATTTTAGTGTATAAACCTGCAAAATTTCAACTATAATTATTATGTAAAAAAAATATAATAAAAAGAAAATTTTCTATTTAAATTAGTATACTATATATTACAACAATGGTTTTTTTGTCGATTAGTTAAAATAAGATACTTGTAACTATAGTTGTACTAGCATGACTGGCAGGTTATAGGATATCTGTATAACTTAAGTTATACAGAGAAATGCAAACTAGTACTGGATAGTGCAAATCTAAAATATGTCCTTGTAGTTATATAAATCTATAGAACTAAAAAAAACTAAAGTTCATTTGAAAAGATCTAAATAAAGAGATAATATGAATCTTTGATGATACTACTATAAAGATTAGTTCTAGAAAATGGATATTAATGTGAAAGAGCCAGATAGGCAAAAACCTTAAGATAAGAAGTATCATCAATCAGATTGTCAGAATTAAACAAAAGAAAAAGAATATCAAATTAGCTTAATATATTAAGAACAGATTACAGTCCTACTAAATTATTTGGATTAAAAGTCTGAAATCAAAACAGAAGTATACTATAAGTACTAGAGATATACTATAAAGTAAATGTTGGAATTTAGATGAATTCTACAAGAGCCAGTCTTGTTAATGTTTTATAAAATAGATAGATAGTTAACCAAAAGATATTCTAAGACCTTACAGTCAGATGGCATGTTTTAGAATATATAATGGCTTGGCAGATATATAAAAAAAGAGATTAAATGTTAGGTTAGATAGCATTTAATTGTACAGAAATCAAGGATTACTCATCTAGATACAATATAAGAATTAGAGTATTTAAATAGGTATCCTCTTAGTAGATTATAGATATAATAGCTAGTGTAGAATTCTTGGATAACTAGTTATATACTTATCTTGTATAAGTTATATATAATGCATTGATTAAAAACACAAATAAGAGGTGTGGTAACCTAGTGAAATGGTTAGGTTGTCAACTTTCCAAATGGTAGATTGGATGTTCAAATCCTATTGATGACAAAAATTTGAATAATCACTTATGTAATATTCATATTATGGCAACTGTTACTAACAATTGGATTAGGATACCTATAATGAAAGTTGCACCAGTATAACTGGCAGGTCATAAAACATCTATGTAAATATGACATTACATAAAGAAATGCAAACTGACAAATTAGGCAATGCAAACACTAGATAAGTCCTTGTGTTCATATAAATCTGATGAAATTAGATAACAAGAAGTCCATTTGTGAAGACTCAAGTAAAGAGGTAGCTGGATCTTTGACAACTCTACTGTAAAGGCTAGCTTGGAGAAACAGATACCAAGGTTGTAGTACCCAGTCATAGTAGCCAGATGGGCAAGAATCTTCAGGTTGGGAGTCTCAAAGGTACCACTAACTAGGTCACCAAAATAAACTGAAGAAAAAAGATATTGGACTGACCTGATATACTAATGAACTGGTTATAGTCCTACACAGGCTATCTGAATTGGGAGTTTGATAAAAAGGCAAATAAAAAAGCAAGAGTATATTAAAGTACCAGAGTTATACTGTGAAATAGATACTGGAGTCTAAGTGAACTCTACAAGGGCATAGTAGTTTAATAGTCAGCCCTGACCGCAAGTGTTGGTTCTGCTATAGCAATATCTAGGTCAGTTATAAAAATAAGTACAAAAGGTTATCTAAGTAAAAAAAAAGTTATATATAGAAAAACAGAAAATTTTAACTTTAATACATAGCAAACTTGATTTTTTAATAAGATAACCTATCTTTGTCTTCTAAGTATATTTGTTCAAAGCATAATTTTACATATAATTGTTAATTTAAAATTAGTAAATATTTGTTTTTGGCAAAGTTACATTTTAATTTGTACAAAATTAGCAAAATTTTAACTTGATTTTTAAGTTTAATTTTTTCTTTTTTTCTTGTTCTATATAACTGTAAATTTTAATTTAAGTTAATAAGTTAGATTTAAAAGAATCTTAGCTCAAAGTTACATAATAAATTCATATATTTTTTAAAAAATTTTAATTATAAATAGCAATAAAAGAGACATGTTCTAAGTCTGTTATACATAAATTAAAACTAATAAGAAATTATATCTATCACAATTGAATCTAATATAAATAATTTAATTTGTGATTGATTACAGGTGAGAAAGATTCATTTTGAATTAGGAACTGTTTCTGCTATAGATTTTTAACTGTTAGAATTTTAGCTATTGTGATTATGGGCTATTAAAATTATAGTTGTTAGGCAAAACACAAAAAAAAAAAATTATAACAATATAGTTCATTATTATAATTTCCTTTATAGTTGAAATTTTGACTTAAACCTAATTTTAATGATAGATTTAAACAATTATTTCTTTTATTTTTTTTAGCTTGTTTTGTTTTCTCTTTTTAGACTAATTAAAATAAACAATTTCATTAATTAATTAAACATGATTCTTGCATTTAGAATGCTTTTATCTAAAAATTTTGACTTTTGGAATTATTTGATCATTAGAATTTTAGTTGTTAGAATTTTTGATTGATATAATTTTTTGTTATAATTATGACTTGTTGGGATTTTAACCCAAATCTAATCTCAATAATTCTAATCTTGATCTATTATTACTAAAATATTATCTGATTATTGTATATAGCTAAATTGCTTATAAAAAGCAGTTTTTACCTTTCAAGTTTTATCAGTATGACTTTGATATTTGTTATATAACATTTTTTCTTTATAAAAAAAAAAATATAAATATATAAATATTAACAAACATTATAAATATAGAATCCTTATATGAAGCTTTATTTGATTTTAAAGATGACTTTAATCAAAAATCTGATGCTAACCTCACTAGCAAAACAATATAATTCATCACCTACATTATACCTCAACTACACAAGCATCTACAATCCATATCATATAATTCTTTGAGACCAATATTTTATAGAACATCCAACTAGAAGCTTTACCAAAAATATCTGCAGAGCCTACATTTTAGCAATATAGTCTTTCCAAAAATGTAACAGAGAATGGGAAGTCTTGGTCTTCCAAATTGATTGGAGATCAACTTAGTCTTTTTTTAACCATAACCAAATAACAACTCATAATGTCATAAACTTTAAACTCAACTATCTTAAATCTTACAAAATTAAAATCTTATTAAATGAACTTCCTACCTATTTTTATTTTTACAAAACCTATTCACATACATTTTACAATACTAACTGTTTTAACTACAATCTTGCTGATTCTCTAACCCATTGGCATATATGCTCAAACCTATTACTTATCTTCAATATTATTCAAACTAGCATATCTGAATACATTAATTATACAAATCTTGATTTATTTATAAACCAACAAAAAAAACTTATTTATAAAATTAGTAATTACTATGCCTTCTACCCTATACTTCTTCAAACCAATCAACACTATCTTGATATTATACTCAAAGGACTTATCCCTAAATCTTTAATTAAGATTATATAAAACTTTAACATCTTATACAAACTAGTCTTATAAACAATTGTTGCTATTCTGCTTAAAGTTAATAAACTTTCTTATAAACAAATATAGAAACCATATTGTATAAACTTTGCTAACTAGAAACAACAACAAGGACTTAAACCACCCTATGCCAGACTCTCATTTTAATTAAATTAAAATAACAAAAGAAACCCTAATTGCAAAAATTATACTTATTCTGTCTATGTGAGCTATCTGACCAACTACACCCTAACTCTAATACCTGTTTACCTATTGGTTATGCTATTTGTAAAATCAATATCTGAACTATTCTTTGGATCAAATACAATATTTCTTATAACTATATTCTAAATTTACAAATCTAGATAAGTCTT